ATGATGTCATAATAAATCTTGATATGTTGTAGGGATGTGTAATAACCTATTCAAATGGCTAAATGGCGTTTAGTAAAAGCATACATCGGATTTAAGCTTCCAATTACTGAATCATTCCATTTAACAATGTTGCTGTGAATTACTAAATTCTCTGTTAGAAATATCCGTGAGGTTATCTCTTTCTGTATTTACCGTCGGGATTTCGGAGCATGAATCACATGTCCACATGCCCTCTCCCCTCCTAAAAGAAGAAAGAATAAAGTCAATCTATTTATTAGTACCAAACTATGAGGGGAAATAATTCGTACTCTTTCTGCAATAGTCCAGAGACAGTTTAGCAAGACTTCTATATGTATGAACGGAAGTGGTAAGTAATAAAAGGTATTTTGTATTGGTGGGGACACATGATTGAATAATTAAGGAAATAGTTCCTCGCAAACTATTATAATAGGCACATTTTCAAAGAAAAGAATGATGATGCCAGGTTGAGAAGACACTGTCACCTTTTGTATTATGTAATTTGTTTTGAAATAAGAAATCATATTCTTTCTCATATGCCTTGAATTTATGCAGCATTTATGCCAAGAATTAAATCTAGCAGATCAGTTCGACTTCAGAGTCTGCAATTTTGACGAAGAGGAGCCAGAGAAGGTGAAGTTATTTCTTTATATTTTATGTGGCTCGACATTTAGATTAACTAAACAAGTAAAGTTTTGGACTGTCTCAGGAAGTAGAGCCATTAGAATCAGCTACATCCAATACTGCAGAGGATTCATCTTCAGAGCCACAGAATCAAACAAAGTCAGTAAGACGACCTGAATTTTTTGGATAATGACTCTGTTTGCCTTTTTCATTTTTTTTTCATGTCCATCCTATTGCTTTAAAGAAGATGCAGTTATACACCTGTCTGTATCGGGCCAGAAGTAGATCTCATTCCTGCTATACCTAAGGAAGAAGCTGGTACAAATCTTTTTAATATGGTATGTAACTTTTACCTGTTCAACATATCTCTTGTTAATCTCCCAGTTCTTTGTTTGGGATTTGTTTCTCATTATATTAAACTAAATTTTAGTACTCAGATGATAAGAATAAGGTAGATGCTGGAGGTGCATGCACTCAGAAAGTTGGAAAGTGTGTTCTTCGTTCTAAAAAAATTACATTAGACATTTGATCATTGGATAGTAGGCTGACGAAAATTTATGACCCGAGATTCCTTTTATTTTAGTTTAAACCGAATGCTCTTGTTTATAATCGTCCAGTTCTTTGATTGCTATTTTACCGATAAGAGTGCTCGGGTTGTAGGGGTAGTTATGTATTGATTTTATCTGAGGGATCATGGTCGTGGTATCGAATATATAAAAAGAATTAAAGAACTTGTCATCTCATTTTTATCTTTGTGAAGGAAGCAAAGTTCATGTACTGGGAATTACAGTCCCTTGAATT